CTGTTGGGGCTATATTAAAGATGATCCTTTCTATTCCTGATTGGGTTTTATTGTAACAAAGATGTAAAACTGTAGCCAGAAAGGACCCAGTAATCGGTAGACCTCCACTGAATCAAATCACGATGCGTGCTTCTCTTTTTCGGGCGAGCTGTTTTGCAGCAGGAAAGGAAGGCAGCTGCTATGTGTCAGCATTTCTTTATTTGTCAGTCGCATTGGGGTGCTCGTTACGATTGCAAGAGCTCTGCGATATGGCGGGTTATCTCTCCAGTGTCATCTTGCGAGATGTGTGCGCCTTGCTTTTCCGATTTCGCGACGGTTCACGTGTGGATGCTCTGTGCAGTAGATCTGCCAGGCCATGTTCCAGGCCACCTCCAGACCATGCCAGCATGGCGGCCAGGATCACTCAACTCATCGTCAAGCGGAGATCATCTTTGGGAGGATCTCATTTGCCGCTCCCATCTGGGACTTACGGCTGCCAACCCTGTGCCTTCGCACGTACAATGAGTCAGTATGGGGGGTGGGAGGGGGGTTGTTGGCCAAACCCCTAACCCCAAACCCTAAACCCCTACAACGGCACGAACAGTGATAGTTCGCAACACTCAACAGACAACTGATGGCAACTAATACTCTTACTGCTGAGCACCAACTCTACTCAAACTTACAAGTTTCACCCGCAGGATCAGAAAAATCTGCGGTGTAAAGGGTTTAGGGTTTAGGGTCAGCACTTAGGATTATCGACTTCTCCCACGTTCTGCAACACTCTCTCCTTCTCAGTTCCCGAGTTCATAAGCCACAAAATGTCCAACATTCAGTTCTGCAGGCGAATATATTATCATGAAAAGTGTGCCATATACGAACTCATATGGGTGGTTGTCAAAATTATGGTCCCTTCTTGGGTCCTTATTATAATACGGCACCTATTATTTAGACAACAACGCATATACGAACTCATACATTAAGTCATGAAAATAAGCCAAAGGAATCAAGACACGGCCGCTGAAAGCGGAACTCGGCTGGTGAGGATGGCAGCATCGGGGGAACCAACTGCCTCGTAGAGACAAGCGAGTAATGTATTTGCGGTATCATTATTAATAAAACTTTCCTATTTTTACAGCTACTTTTTGCGATTACTACTAAGACTGCTGTGGCTTTATATTCCTGCAGTAGTATATTGATTTACTACATGTTAATTAATTAATGGAATTGTATTCTCATGTTTTTTGCAATTACGCTCTTAAGTGACCGCCTTCGGGGTGGTTCTGGGACTAGGGTTTCGAGTTAGAGTTCGCAGGCCTAGAGTGGGTTTAGGATTTGGAAGCTCCACTCTATGCCATTGCTGAGAAACCTCCTTAATCGGGTGTTTTAACCCCTGGTTTTTTGGGTTTAGGGTTTGGGGTTTAGGGTTTAGGGTGCATGTGCTGAGAATTCCCTTCAAGTGTGTCTATCTGGTTCAAGCGTTCTCGCCGTACTGGTCTTCGGGCCTCAGCGGCCAGAACGGGGCCTTGGCACATCGACTCTACTTCATTTAGGCCTTGCATTGAAAAAATACTACAAAGCATCGAAGCTGCTACAGAACCCAAGACACCTGGCAAGGGGACTTCGATTCTACTCAACCTGTATGTTCACTGCGACAGTAAGGGCAATAAACTAAAGCTCTGACTCTTGCTGTCGCGATGAAGGCTGTCAACCCCACAAACCCCAACCCTAGAGGCCTAAACCCCCGACGCCCGATAAAAAAAAAAAACAAAAACAAACCACAAAGCAACACCCCTTTCCAAAAAAAACACAAAACTACACCCCTTTCCAAAAAAGATACCACAAGAAACAAGATCAAAACCCTAAACCCTAACCCCTAACCCCTAAACCCTAAACCCTAAACCCTAAACCCTAAACCCTAATTCAAAACTTGAGCAAGATGCAGCATGA